GAAAAAACTAGCTGTCGTAGCTAAAAACTGCGCATGATAATTAGATTTCAGCCGTAATAAATGAACAACAAACATCTTATCGTTAACCGAGATACCTATTTATTACATAGGTGAAACAGCGAACATCTCGCAATTAGCGGTGATACTCGTTTATTACGCGCAACAGCAAACTTTCTATAGTTTAGGAATGTATCATGCGAATCATGATTAGCAATGGTAGCGAAAATTTTTCCATAAAATCTAATGGAAGGAGGTCGAATGAAGAGAGGTTCTCGCATCGAAGGAGAGCGTTTTTATTTGTAACAGTACAGAGATACAACAGCGCGTTAGGATTCTCCGAAGAGCAGAGCCTGCAGTTCGCAATCGATTATATCGTTGCGGTCGAAGTTCTCGCTGTCGCGTATCGCCGTCGGAATAAGCGTTCGATCGCGTACATCGGCCGCGATATCGAGGAAGCGCGTTAGCTTGTTATCGATGTATCCGGTTAAACCGCTCAAAGTTGTAATGATGCGGTTGATGCAATGCTCCAAGTTTAATATATTTAGCACTCGTTAACCGAGATACCTATTTATTACATAGGTGAAACAGCGAACATCTCGCGATTAGCGGTGATACTCGTTTATTACGCGCAACAGCAAACTTTCTATAGTTTAGGAATGTATCATGCGAATCATGATTAGCAATGGTAGCGAAAATTTTTCCATAAAATCTAATGGAAGGAGGTCGAATGAAGAGAGGTTCTCGCATCGAAGGAGAGCGTTTTTATTTGTAACAGTACAGAGATACAACAGCGCGTTAGGATTCTCCGAATAGCAGAGCCTGCAGTTCGCAATCGATTATATCGTTGCGGTCGAAGTTCTTGCTGTCGCGTATCGCCGTCGGAATAAGCGTCCGATCGTAGACGTCGGCCGCGATATCGAGGAAGCGCGTTAGCTTGTTATCGATGTATCCGGTTAAACCGCTCAAAGTTGTAATGATGCGGTTGATGCAATGCTCCAAGTTTAATATATTTAGCACGGTGCTCCTCGATGCGACTAGACGATCCTTAGGTGTTTCGAGACGGAGTATTCGGAGATTGTTAAGTTTGCCGAATCGCAACGTTAATTGTCCGATATATATCGGGGCTGGAGGGCGCATCTCCTCTCGCTCGTCGCGCTGAAAGTACGACGTAAGCACGGATCGCAGATCGAGCAGTTCCTTCCACACATCCGGCGCAAACGAGATCTCTTTGCCGTGACAATTTCCGAGGACGACTTCCACGTAAGAGGGTCGGCTGACGTTAACACCGACTTCGAGATGTTTGTACGCCGTTTTGGTCAATGGGTAGCATCTTCCCAAGATTCTAAGCGATCGTCCGATCGCGACGTCGCGTCTCGACGTCCAGTCGTAACCTTGTCTGAAGGTACATAGATGCGGACGATGAGAAAAACAGTGCTAATGGGACGAAAGAGTATTAATTTGAAATATGTTGTTCAATATTCTTACACGCTGTCCATCCTCGCTTTCTTCGCGGATCCCGCGTCATTCTCTCGATTTCGCTCGGCGAGCGTCGATCGATCGTCGGCCGGATGCTGCTGTCCCATTGCCTTGTACATGGTTGTCTATCTTTTTTCACTCGTATGCTTTAGTGTACGTCGTCGACTATGAAGTGTCTAATGGCTCGGCGATCTCTATATACTCGCGTAGAGATCACTCCTCCTTCCGCGCGCGTCTTTCGCTCCTTTTTATCATATTCTATTTTTACAATTACATTAGAGCGATGGCGGAAGTCGCTTCATCAGTCGTCCTCTTCGTCGATCTCGTCGCTCTCGGTTACGTCGCCGAGATGATAAGCGCGAATCAGAAGATCGCGCAATTGTCGCAACA